TATTTACTGCATTATACCATTATGCTGATAAAAAAAAAATTAAAACAACAACACATGTATTTAAAATCTGTAGGTAACCCCACCACAAGATCGACGACAAAGAGACCAACATAACTATAACCCTACAACTCACATAAAGACAAGCAGTTGAGGCTAAACAATTTGCAAATCACAAAATAAAGACGCATAACTGCAGCAATGGCCCAAAAAGTTGATGTAAAATATTTATTTGTAGTTATTTGTTTTAGTGGGCGAAGTGGCACTTGTGCCGAAAGTTTCTCGAGTACACCAAAGGCAGTCTTGCAGTTATAAAGCATATCAATAATTAGTCTTTCTCAAACACTGTACAACACGTTTTTACGTTAGGATCAAAACATTGAACAAAGTGGGAAACACTTCTTCTAATCGTAGTCGTAGGGCCCAATATATTGTTGCCAACATTATTTTCAAGCGTACACGTATTACGTGCCTAATAAAAGCACGCAGTTTGTGTTGTTTGGTTGGAATACTGATGTGCGAAAAAAAGAGTGCGGCAAAAGTAAGTAAATGCAGTTAATGCAGCAATTAGACACTTTCTGTGCTATAATCAGTGCAAGGATGAACACTTTGCCACTTGGCAGGTGACTGGACTGACTGTAGGAAAAATATATTTGCGAAAAATAAAAACGTCCGGCATTGACTTTGTAAGGACTTAGCAAAAAGTGACGTTTGATGTGACGTCAAGGGAGCGAGCCGTCAACCAGGTAATGCCTCTTGATCAATTAAGGCCCAGAGGCTGTAGACGGCGATACTGCTTCCCTAGGGACGTTGACGGGCTAATCCCGCCGTCAATTGACGCCCGATAACTGCTGTGACGCATCGGGCTGTTAACAGACATCGCTGTCAATGGGGATTACGTTATCCTCGGTTATGTGGGTTGAACTATAATACGTTTATGGAGTTTTTTTTAATTTTTACTTTCTCACCCTATACCCCATAGTGTGTGGAGAATGTATGGTTTTCTTTAAAAGTTTCTAGTTTGGGTTTTGAGTGGGTATATCCGTTTTGGGTCCCCCTGGACCCAAAAAAGTGGTTTTCAAAATTATGTATATGTATGTGTGTGTGTGTGTCTGTCTGTAGAGGTTGATATGTACGGCGCTACAGACTACACCTGTGGGCCAATTTTGGTAAAATTTGACGTGTAGGTAATAACAAATGGTATATCCAGGATATTTTTAATTCTTTTAAAATTTTGATTTTTATTGGTGATTTCCCCATAAACCCCATAAATTTACAGAAAATTTTATTTGATCGAAAATGGCCCAAACGATTTTGAAAAAAATTTAGTATGTTAACTTATAGCCCTTTAAATTCTCAACAAAATGGTATAACTCACACTGCTGTAGAAATTACAGTTCAAAAGTTACTATAACTAATGTTATTTCCCCATAAAATAACAGAAAAAAGAATAAAAAAACAGGTTTTGATTAAAACCTGTTAGCATGATGTAGTGGTAGGCCTACTTATAATTCTAAACATAATAGTGCAACCCATTACTGTCAAAATTACAATTCTAAAGTTATTTCAATTTTTTTTATTTTCCCTGTAAAATTTCATACTCCCACCGCTTACCCATAATAAAGGTTATTGACAAGCTAATGGGAGAAAGTATGTGTCAAGATTGCTGATACCGTTTATTGCAGAGCTTTCTTCACATTGAGACCCTAAGTTCTATCCCGGAATCATTGCATTATTACTTCAGGCTGTGCCTAGAGAGGGAATCAGCTTAAATCAATTGGTGACTGGATATATTTGAACCCAGGTCGTGCGGACACAAGCCTCGAGCTCTCCGATTATTATGAAACTTGTTCAATTGCAGTATCACAAAACCAGATGCAAATTGTAAACAAAGCCATCGTTGAAATCACCACTTCAGGCGATCAGTTTAATTTTTTCTTGCACACAAATTTTCACTTGTCATATATTATTAGTGTAAGTGGACTTTTTACATCTTCAACCTCAAAAACAATCCTTAACTTAGAAATAATTGGTCTAATGAATCATTGGATACATATATTTCAATGGATGGTGTTTTATGCCAATGGGGAATTTAAAACAAAAATAAATCAGTCCCTAGTATAGTTCTTAAAAAAACTTACATAGCTTGTTCTCTATGTGGGGGTTTCGCTAAAATTACGTGCAATTGAGAAAACACACATCTATACAGACTATCTGAGTTTTTTGGCTACTAATCCTACCAAACGCAATACCGTACACAATAATAACATAATTTTGAAAGTTCAACCAGTAATGGATTATCCACAGTTACAGTTTCTAGATTTGATCCCCCAAAGTCCCCCCCTCCCCCTCCCCACCCCACTCTCTTCTGTGATTGGTTTAAAGCCTGAAGTTTCAACAGCTAGTTTATCTTCATGCTCCAGTCAACCCCTCAACCATCCAAGGGAAATTCAATTTCAACTTGATCCAAGTTTCCCTTGATTGCGATGAAACGTTATTTAACAGTTGAATGTTGAGCTTTGCCGTGCAAATTATGACTAGTATACAAAATATTTTATCATTTTACTATCATGTATGATTTATAAATATTATGTGGGGTTGAGTATTGTCAAAAATTTTGAATTCAAAACACAAAATATGATTTGGTCATAACTTTCATTGTGGATTAAATAAAATGTTATTTTCTTTGCAATATAAATTTAAAAAATTGTATTTATTAAAAACATTAGGATTGTTTTTCAGGCTAGATTTATGAATTGGGGTATCATCACTTAGATGAAAGATAAATTACATTGGTGATTTGGCAGGATTTGAACCCGGTACCTCAGGGACTAAAGTTCCACGTTCTACCCCTTAGAACCCATATACAACATAATGGAATCGGAATGCCAGATTAATATAATGAATCAATTCAAAAGAGAAGTAATAAAACTTAACACTAAAATATAAACATATTTATTAAACAATAACTATTTACAAATATGCTACAACATAGATGAAAAGTGTATGAAGTACATCAAGACTAGATTTTGTTCAACAGACTAAAACTTTTATATTAAACTTTTATTTACATTTTGATTTTTGCTATTATACATAGTAAAATATTTAAGGCCAACTCTCAAAATTCTCAGTCTCATCCTGGACTATCTTTCCTGAATTCTATTTTAAACATATCTATCTGATAAATATAAATATATATTTTAAACAAGGACAATGTTTATATATTTATAGCTTTGAAAAGTACATTTTCGCCAAGGTTTGACTTCAGTAGATAAATGCCACAGTGTTATTATATTATATTACTAATTTCCAAAGACATAATAATAATATTGGAAATTAGCTAAAATGCTATAACCTTCATACAAAAATAGGGGTAGTAGGAAATGTATTGATATTTTTTGCTTAAATTTTACAAAAGTATATGGATAAAAGAAACAAACAATCAAGTAACACCTAACTTTTACAAACACAAAAACGATTAAGTGATCATTAAAACTATATGATTTTAAAAATATCTCTGCACTATACATATTTTTGTAAAGAAAAACAAATCACAAGCACCGATTTCTTCTCTATTGTTTTAAAGTTTACTTTTATGTAGATTTTTAAAAGTATTCACTTAATTAACTTTTACTTCAGGATTTGCCAAATGCATCACAACCGAAATTACACGTACAAACACATGGGAATAAACATCTGTACACTCATGTTTATAAGCTGCTTTTCAAAACTAGTAAATTTTTGCAACTGTTAAGAAAAGAGGTCTTTTAAAACAAAGACATCGTTTTGTGTTCAGTTTTTTTTATCATTTTGTCACAGTTGCATTTGAAAATCCTGAATTAAAGATTATTAAAGTTTACTAAAAACTAACAAAACTATTATTTCACCAACAAATCTCCATAAAGAGTTAGTTACATTAAAACACATATTAACAATTAAAATACATTGAACAATTAACATTTACAGTCCACATAATAAACAAACAACAGAATATTTACAGAGTATAGCTAATAATATTCTAGAAACAGAGGAACAAAGTAGAAGTACAAAACATTCAATAAAGTCAGATAAATTAATAAACTGTTATTAACTAAACATAAATTAAGAATTCAATTTTTATTGTTTTAATAACATTTTGTCTTGTACACTCTTGTTTTTGATCTGTTAACACGAGGACGGAGTTTTGAAATTTACTGACGCTGATAAGTAATACTCTTTAAAGCCAGGTTTTCCTAGGCGCGGAAGTGGAGAGCGGAGAGAGGAACGCGGAGAGCGGACTCCACTTGTCTTAGGTAATTTAATGTTACTGTTTTCCTAGAAGTGGAGCGGAACACCAAGTTAATCTCTTTTCCGCTCTCCGCTCTCCACTTCTGTGCCTAGGAAAACCCAGCTTAATACCTAAAACACCAATATCAGGATTCAGTGATGCTCAACAATTAATTACGTTAGTTGTTTCTTTAACAAACAAGCTATTGTTTCAAAAATAGCAAAATTTATTTCCTGCTTGTAGGGAAATTTATTTTTACTTTTTAAAACACTTATTGTCAATTTTTTTAAGTCCTTCACATCCTAGGACGCTAGAGGCTCCAGTCCAAGACCATTTCACAATACTTTATGCTTGGCATAGAGGTTCGTAGCATTATCACATAGATAAAATAAAATGCATTGGTAATTTAATTTGTTATTTGAAACTGTGACTTTGGGTAATCCAACGCTCTTTTACTAGACCAATTCAACAAATCTACTTATATAGCCTTATATGTACGCTTTCATGCTGCAGTATTAATTTTTTCAATATTCAAATTAATTCGACTACTCTCTGATTGAAGTTCACAATCAATGAAGTTATCTGAAATAATTGGTCCAATAACAACTTTTACTATAATATTAAATATTAAGTATTTCTGCTTATGAAAATACTGCTTTGACTTGTTCCCAATAGCTGTAATATTTTATATTCTTTTTTTAATTGCTTGAAAAATTTTATGTTTCATATTATTTGTGTTTTTTCTTTTAGCAAAAACGTTAGCAAATTGCATTTATTTTACCAATATCTGAATTATATAAACTTATTTTGAACTCAATTAGATTGACGTCACAATATACTAAATTTTTTAGCGTTATTGTTTCAACCTCAGCATTGAAAATTTTGGCATGTAACATGGATGCAAGAGTGATTGTGTGAGTACACTGAGCGTAACAAAACATTAACAACCTAAAACACATATAAAATATAATCATAACAATATTATATGTACTAAAAATGCTAAGAAACATACATTGATGTATTAGACATTTAACAACCATTATAGAGCACCTATAAGATTAAATTGGACAATAAATGAAGCATTCAAAACCAATTAACAATAGTATTAATAAATAGCTTAGTTTTTTTTTCTTTTTTAAGAAAGTCGACAGCAACACCAAAGGTATGTATAAAAATAGTTTTGTTTAACTTTAATAGCTAGCCATTTAGGATTTTTTGGAGAAAAATAAAAGGTCTAGACATATTTTGGGCTGAAGACCATAAACTGGACATTTTCTTCATTGTATTGATTCTTGTTTTTTTTAGTGTTATTTAATGTAATAGGTAAAATAATACTATTACTAAAATGTCACGTATTCCTTGAAAATAGATTACTGACAATACCCTTTTATTTTAGTAACGTCATCTGAACTGTTTAAACGAGAGCATGAAATAACTGTTCCACTGATCACGTCTTTTGTTAACAGCGAGCATTACAAAATTATAGTACCTCTGAAATACTAAGAATACAATTATTTTTGTAACATCATACTCAACTGTTAAAGCGAGCGAGTGAAATTACGTTGATTAAGTTTTCCAATTAACATTGAGCATCACAAAATAATATAGTACCTTGATAAGAGATTTCTGAGATTATGATTATTTTAGCTACATCATACTGAACTGTTAAAACTAGTGACAGAATACACTGATCATGTGTTCCTCGTAATGGGGAGCATCGTGAAATAATAATACCTCGGTAATAGATTACTGGTAATATTATAATATTCTTATTATAGTAACGTTGTCTGAACTGATAGAATAAGCGAGTTCATGATTGTGTCTTCTTATTAACAACAATCTGGCTGAAACGTCCTTGACGAGAAAGTATTAGGTGACAAAAATAATAGTGCAATTTCACCTATTAGCAAGCTAGGAGACCTTTTTGACTGTTATTGCAAAAAGGTATTTCCCATCACTAATTTACTGACGCAATCGTCAGTTTTTTCGTTACTTTTTAATAAAACTGTTCAAAACCCGGTCATTTTACTATCTAACGTCAACCTTTTGCTGGCACCCTTAACTCGTTACCCACTTCCAAATGACAAAACCGATCTCGCTTGGGATCGAACTGGTGACCTTTATACTGAAGGTTAGCTCTAACCGCTCAGTTGGCACACAAGTATGTAGACCTGAGCTGTTGTATAGTCTGCGCCAACTGTCGGAAGGTTGGTCTAGTCTGACTGTCCAGTTGCCAACAAGGGTGTATGACAGTAACGTAGATGTGTTGCGGACAGGACGCAGGACATGGTAGTCTCACTCCGGCCTCCAGAGCCGCCAACAGCTGAGCCTGGTCAGTGCTGTCCACCAGCGAAGGCAGTTGCGGATCTAGTCCTAACGAGAACATCTCAAACAGTGTCACACCGTAGGACCAGACGTCCGAGCGTGTTGAGAACTTGCCGTCTCGTAGAGACTCCGGCGCATACCTGCAGTGTACAATTTAAGTTGAAAAGGAATAGTTCAGCGAGGAGAAAATTAGAGTACATCGGCTAATCGATACACAGTGAAAGAACACAACTGATCCAACTATCTTTCCTTAATATAACTTCAAGATGAGGTTTTCAACATATGAATATAGGGGACGACAATACAACAAACTCTCTTCAGAAAAATAATTCCAGCTCAAACAAAGTACATAACACATTAATCTGATATGAGAGATACCCGGTTTAACATCACCAAAAATACGGCTGACGTTGGGCTGGGGCCCGAGACGGCTGATCCATGTTAGAACTCCATGGTCAGTTTACTTTGTTTAAAAATGTATTAGAAAAATTAATAAAAATGTTTATTCACCCCTTACAAACTTTAAACGAATGGCAAAAGTGAAAAACCAAATTTGTAGCTGATAATTTGTTATTTACTTCTTCACAAATTTTAGATGACACAACATAATTTTGCATGACAAATTTTCATAACCTTTTCTTAAACAAGGAATTACACTTAGATCAAAATGGGCATCCAAAAGCATCAATTTGAGCAAAAGCTCTTCAACTCACCACTTAATAGGAAGTTCCCTGTTCGTCTTGAGAATGTAGTAGTCGTTTGTGCCCATGACTTGAGCAAGCCCAAAGTCCGATATCTTAACATGAGTTTCACTAGCAACCAAAATGTTTCTTGCAGCCAAATCTCGGTGAACAATTTTCTTCTGCCCGAGGTAATCCATCCCCTGTAGCAACAAACTCAAATTAATTACGAGGCAAACCATCCAGGGTTGATTTATGAGTGAAATTCATAACAGCCGACTGTATACGTTACAAAACCAAATCAGCCCCTGGACTTTTTTCAGGTAAGCTAGAACTCTATCCTATTTTTTTCCTAACTAGCTATTACTTTGGCTTTTTTTAAAAATATTGTGGTTAAATAATTTTTGTGTATGATAGGATGAACAGCAAATTCTATATTATATTTTTTATGTGTTATAATCAGGTTACATTATAACACAAAGTACAACAGTTTTTGTTTCATCAGTAATATAACCCTTCTGTTTATCCTATCCACCACAAAATCCTTAAAGGACAAACCTAAAGCGAACTTTACCATTGTTATAACATTTAGTTACTACAAATCAGTCATACAAACCTTGGCTACGTCCAGAGCGAACTTGAGCAATTGTTCGGGCCTCAGCCTGTCTCTGTTGATCTTCAAGTAGCACTGTAGTGAACCATGGGGAATGAACTCCATCACCAGGCTAACCTCTGGCTCACTGATCACAGCCTTGATCTCCACAATGTTCTCGTGCTTCAGTCTCTGCAAACAATATTGATCTTTAACAAATCATTCACAATTTCAAAAGATAGAGACTCAGAGAAGCTTCAGCTACATCCTACGTAATGGTGAGTTTGTATTATGAATTATTGCGGACATTCTCCATCACTCGGGTGTTCCGAGCTTGAGTCTCGGACTAAATGAAAGTGATTGTGTATGGAATAGATAGTGTCTGTTTATCTTTAATCTACCCACTTAAACTTTATGATTTTTTTCATGTGACTGTTACAAATATTTTATATTTTGGCTATCTTTAATCAATTAATCAATTATTTAAGATGGGGACGCCACTAAGTGTGTATTTTCACCTAAATATGAATGAAGGATGAGTGTAGTATGAGTGGCACAATCTTGTAGTCTTGTTAGTGACTAAATCCGACATGTTCCTTAGACACAGCTGTTAATTAATAGCCCATACAGTAGACTCTCTCTTATCCGGATACCTTTTAACCGGACTACACTCGGCGGAAAAGACATCTGTTTAACCGGACAATTTTTATCAGCACATTGGTTTAACCGGACTAGATCGGCAGGAAGTGGGCAGTACTGAAACGACCTAAACGACTGTCCTCGTGGGAAAGATTTGAGACCAGTGATCACGTGTCTAAATACAATGCTCTCCTAAATTTAAGTCGAATATCACAGTAAACAGTCGGTTTTAATGAGTTTTTGGGGACGTCGGTTTAACCGGAAAACCCGTTATCCGGACTGGCCTCGGTCCCGAGGAGTCCGGATAAGAGGAAGTCTACTGTACATCCAGTGACAACTAAGGGACCTACAGTAGTCTAAATCTCAGGTTCACCACAACTGAAATTGCAACTGACTTGCAAGTTCTTAACACACTTAAATTTTTTAGTTTTGTTTTTAATTGAACATAGCATTGTATGATTCATAACCTAAAAAAAATTCACACACATAAGTTCATTAACATGGACAGTAGAAACTGTGGACAAGACAGAAAACTAATCTTGTACCTTCATGATGTCTATTTCCCTCTCGAAGTCCGCGCGGTTGGCACTGATGCTGTCAGCTTTGAGTTTCTTGACTGCTACCAGCTGGGGTTCACAGTCCTTGTCCATCTGTTCCAGTGTAGCTCTGTACACCTCACCGTAGAACCCCTGGAACACACCTCATTAAACACTCCATACTTGGAGCCACTACTTACTAGTACGCTTCAAGTTTTGTTTGTAGCCACACCCGAAATTTCCCGGACATTTCTAATGGTTAAAATGCAGCAAAATATTAAAATATAATAAATAGAATCGATTAACGCCATAACAGTATACCTGGCCTATCCTGCCCTGAAGTACGACATTGCAGTCAGCCTCCAGTTCAAAGATGCACTGCAGCGACGAGACACTGTCCAGTGACATGTTGGTCGTGTTGGTAGACAAGTCCAGGTGTGACAACATGACAGACATGTCAGGAGAATGGTTCTCTCCCAGCTGGTGCAACTCCTACAATGTTCAATTATTATCTTGTTGTAAAGACACTGTCAGGTGACATAAACTATATATTATAACAATACAGGGTGATTTGTACTCAGTGTGACAACATTTTTTTGGTGTAAGTACAAAGTAAATGAAGTGTGATGATGCATATCAAATGTTCCAAGTCTAAAAATTAGCTTCCCAAAAAATTATTTTATGTTTTTAAAAAATAACCATGTTTTAAAACTTAATACAGCGATTTCTCAATTACCTGTATATGGATTTGAGTAGATAATGTAATTTTCGTGTTCTACATTAAATTTTGAACAAGAATAATAGAAAATGACGGAGGATCAGTTGTAAAAACTCCATTGTAAATAGATTCAAAAATAAAAATTAAGATGTTTGATAAAAATTTTAAAAACAATGGTCTATTGCATTTTTCACACCCTGTATACAAGAAAGTGTCGGAATATGTTAAAAACTGCGCCATTTTATAAGCTTTCCAACGATATACTACACTATTGAGGTTTATGTCTGCTTATGTACGCTTAAATGGTTTGAGGACTACAAAGCATGGTGTCTTTAACATTTAAAACATAGAAAGTCGGCATGTATTAAGCACAAGTTGTATTTTTGATTCAGCTTGAACAGTAAAAACAGTAAAAAAGTTCCTTGTTTTCTGGTATTCAAACCACTAAAACAAACGCAAAAATATCTAAACCTCAATAGTGTAGCATATGGTTGGAAAGATTATAAAATGGCACAGTTTTTAACATATTCCGACACTTTCTTGTATACAGGGTGTGAAAAATGCAATAGACCATTGTTTTTAAAATTTTTATCAAATATCTTAATTTTTATCTTTGAATCTATTTACAATGGAGTTTTTACAACTGATCCTCCGTCATTTTCCATTATTCTTGTTCAAAATTTAATGTAGAACACGAAAATGACATTATCTACTCAACTCCATATACAGGTAATTGAGAAATCGCTGTATTAAGTTTGAAAACATGGTTATTTTTTAAAAACATAAAATAATTTTTTGGGACGCTAATTTTGAGACTTGGAACATTTGATATGCATCATCACACTTCATTTACTTTGTACTTTCATCAAAAAAATTTTGTCACACTGAGTACAAATCACCCAGGCCCAGGAGTATATACTAGGCCCAGCATACACAAAAGATTAGAATATTTCACTGTCACCGACAGCATTTTCAACTGAGGAAGAGAGTGTTTCAGGCCTCTTTTCCTCCTTGAAGCTCAAGTTCTGGAGGCCTGAAATATTCTCTCTACCCTAGTTAAAAATCCTGTCAATGACAGAGAAATATTCTAATGTTTTGTGTGTTATATTGTAATGTTTTGTGTTATGAAATATTCTAAGTGTTAAGTTTTATGTTTCTTGTTTGGTCTCTTGGATAATTTGGACTCCTCTCCATTCAGGTAAGCCTGCTATCCTCGCTAAATATCCTAATAACCCAGGTCCTTGTGCTCTTTGTTACATCCTAAATACTTTACTAGAATGCACAATAGCTCAGGAGTAGAGGAACATACCTGTGAGGCAGCCAACAGCCAAGAGCTCTCTCCCCATTGCTTGCTGAAGTCTATCAGGCTGTTGCCACTGTCCACTGAAACCACACACATTTATTAGACTTCTCAGACGTTTATGTGTATATTGTTTCTCACGTAATGGAAAATCACAATAACAACATTCCCCGCCCTCTGATTGTTCAAAATGGCGGCGTGCTACAATTGTCGGTCTCTGCTATGAGAGACGCCAGTGCTGTGGATGCACTAACTCGCAAGTGTTTAGTTCAATAACAGATTCTGCTGGAAACTTTGTTCTCCGCTACGTTCGCTAATGTTTTGGTTTATCGTTGTTATCTTATTATAAACAAATATTCAGCTTTGACTTTTGGGAAAAAATATTTTTAGGTATATGTAGCGTAAAGATCAAAGCCACTCAACATATATGTAGCGTGGAATGAGTTAAAACAAAACTGTCAATATTTGTTGAGTTACAGTTAATTTGCCAGTGTTCCACAGAACAGGAAATCGTTTAGTTCTTCAATAGAAACACATTACACACTTGTAAAATCAAAATGAAAAATTATAATGAAAACTAATGAACGACCAACAATGAAACAATTGACATTGAATTAAAACGTACCTATTGAGACATACGGTAACCCCGATTAATGTAGGATGTTTTGAAGCAACTTTTTATACACATACATTTTCTCAATTCAAATCGTTCAACATGTCATTTGTATTTTTGTCTATTTGATTTATATTGAAGAGATTTCTAGCTAAATTCACAAATACCTGAATCTGACAATGGTCTAACACCAAAACATATGGTATTTAGCTGACAGAAATCACTGAGTAATATTTAAGGATTTTTTCCCCCCAGAAAATAGGGCCCCAATCTAGGCCCTTGTGCTCTATGCTACACCCTTGAGTAATATTTTAGTATGGAGAACATAAACAGCTCGGCGGCTAAAAACAAGGATTCTAAATCTACAATCTTAAATAATATTTAAAACTTCACTATTTGACAGCACAGCAGATTGTTCTGCAATCACCACTACTAAATCTTACAGTGGCAAACAGTTGAATAAAACGTATGACTAATCAACAGCAATGTATTGACTCACTGGTGAGGTTGGATGAGATGGTCGATCTCTCACTGGACGCTGAGAAGCTTACTGAGTCTATATTGTTGTCCGACTTGAATCTACGAGGTGTCGCCACAGAGTAAGAGTGCATCCGTCGTGAGTTGAACACTAGTACAAAGAGTAAATTATAGTTTCAGTTAAGTAGCACACCGTATAAGCTTAGGGGTTATTTATTTAACCATGCCTTTTTTGTAAGGTCCCTCTTGTGGACACACCCATTGGATTAAAAGTAGCAAATACCTGATTTGAGTGCATCTCACAAATAATCCACACATCTAACATCCTGCAAATAATCCACACATCCAAAGTGTCACAAATAATCCACACATCCATGGTCTCACAAACAATCCATACATCCAACATCTCACAAATAACCCACACATCCAGTCTCACAAATAATCCACACATCGATAGTCTCACAATTAATCCACACACCCATCTTTGACAAATAATCCACACATCCAACATCTGGCAAATAATCCACACATCCAAGGTCTCACAAATAATCCGTACATCTAACATCTCACAAATAATCCACACCTCCAACATGTCAACAAATTAAATGAGCTGTTCTTGTGCAAGTTGGATGTGTGGATTATTTGTGAGACTTTGGATGTGAGATTAAATAATCCTCACATCCAATATCTCACAAATAATCCACACACCCAACTTGATCAAGAGCAGCCCATTTAATTTGTTTGCTTCTTCTACCAACCTCTCACGTGCCACTGACAATTGAACTTCTGTCAATTGCATCATGTCAGATACAGCTTAATGTAATTTGTTCAGTGACTCTCGCATAGATAGTTTAAAGTGAATGTTTGGCAGTCCCACCTTGATAGAGGAGATGGTTTATGTCTCGCATGGCCTCCTGGGTGGTCTTGCGTCTCTGAGGGTCCAAGGTCCAGCATTGCAGCATGAGACGGTACACGTCACTGGAGCAACTCCTCGGCTGAGGCAGGTGTCTGCCACTCAGGTAAAACTGTCAACACACAAGTTCAGGAATAAATAAAATTATTACAAATGAAAATGCTTCGTGTAAAAAAAACTCAAGAACAGTAGGGACTGAGGATTTGGGGTGTACAGATTAGTTTTCATCACTAGGAGCAGAAAGTGACTCTTTTTGGTACGCAATCATGTTTTACAAGCTCGGTTATGCCTCGCTTGGAAATATGATTAAGTATCAAAACGACACTTTCACTCCGTGTGATGAACAACTATTTTCATCATACTGTGGAAACAACCTTCCAATCGATTGAGCTTAGCGATTTAAAAAAATATATTGTTGCAATTTCAAGTCCATCTATGCTCGAGCTAAACTCAAAACATTTGCACCTAATTAAACTGCTCCAATATCTTCAGTTTTCTAATGATGATTTCAAATTATGTTCCTCCTAAAACACGTTAACACCGCCTGAACACAGAGACAGAATCTGAAACCAGTTGCTACTAAGATTCAGGATTGGGCAGATCTTTCCACCATTACAATAATCCTAGGTGACACACAAGATTATGAAATAACGTTACATTTCTCAGATCTGGTTCGGAGACAGTGGGATGTTGCCCCTTGGTGAATATTTCCCAAAGTGTCGTTCCAAACGCCCAAACATCTGAGCCGGTTGTCTTGTGTGTGTTGTCTTTCAAGTGGTAGCACTCCGGTGCTAGCCAGTGCACACTGTGAACAAGAACAATGTTGTGAAAACATTCCGAATTAATGCAAATTCTGGTTTTGCTTATTCCATGAAATAAATTTAAAATTTACTACTTTGACTTAAAGTTTCTGGGTAAAAACTTGTGCCGACTGATGATGACCAGACATATACAGGGTGTCACAAAAAAGTGTGATGGGCTATACAGGACCTAATTCTACATGCAAAAATAAGTCAAAAATGAAGAATAATTTTTTTTGGATTTTGGCTTAGTTTAGCCGTAATCCACCATTTTGTTTTTTTGGGAAAATATTTATTATTTCAAAATCCCTTTGAGATATTTTTACGAAACTTGGCAAAATTGTTTACACTATAGTAAGTAACATTTATAAAAAAAATTATTATTTTAACTTTCCAAATTTCAAAATGGCGGCCGTTTGAATTTTTTAATGCCAAATTTCATGAAAACCGGTACCTAAATCAAAATTTTGTGAGACACAAAAGTTTTAGTATTTATTATGACAAATCCAACAAAACAAAAATAAATAAAATCGGTTCATAAATAAAGAAGCTGTGTTTTTTTTAGTAATTTAGACTGAAATTATTAATATATAAGATGTATTAAATGTAATGTAATAGTTTATGTAACGTATTAAGTAATTTCAGTCTAAATTATTAAAATAAACACAGCTTCTTTATTAATGAACCGATTTCATTCATTTTTGTTTTGTTGGATTTGTCATAATAAATACTAAAAATTTTGCGTCTTACAAAATCTTGATATAGGTACCGGTTTTCATGAAATTTGGCGTTAAAAAATTCAAACGGCTGCCATTTTGAAATTTGGAAAGTTAAAATAATTTTTTTAATAAATGTTACTTACTATAGTGTAAACAATTTTGCCAAGTTTCGTAAAAATATCTCAAAGGGATTTTGAAATAATAAATATTTTCCCCAAAAAACAAAATGGCGGATTACGGCTAAACTAAGCCGAAATCAAAAAAAATTTATTCTTCATTTTTGACTTATTTTTGCATGTAGAATTAGGTCCCGTATAGCCCATCACACTTTTTTGTGACACCCTGTATACTACATTTTATCCGTATGATTATAAAGTATAAACGGTGGGTGTCATTCATTAACAAGACCCTTGATAACAAGTGTCATTTTCAACTACACTTGATTTGATATCACCCCTTATCACAAGTTGTTGCAAACCTCTATAAGAAGTCTACCTGCTTGATAACAAGTCTAATTAGATCATTCTTGTGACAAACCTATTATCAAGGTTCTACTGTTATTACCAATCTTTTCACGTCTTATTATGAAACACTCAGTAGTTAGTTGACTTGGTCTGTTACGAGTTTCCAAAAGTTGATTCTCGATTCCACCGATTCCCAACTGTGATATCAGAATTGAGAGATCCATACGAACAGAAAATTACTGCAAATGCCGCGATTGTGCAAGACGACGATGACGTTTCTGTGACCGCAGGAGACGATAATGATGTTCCTTTATTGCGGAGTCTGTTCGGGGTTTTGCTGTGACAGAGGGAGACAATGACCTAGGCACCACATGACTAAACGACCGTGGGAAATTATGGAAATTTTTGGCGCAATCATGGAAGACAAAGATGTTTCTGTTACCGCAGGGGATATTCAGAATTTTGCCATAACGGCGGAAGACAATGACGATGTCTACACGACCGCAGGAAATGATTGAAATTTTGGCGCGATTGTGGAAGAAGATGTATCCATTACCGCAGGGAATTTTCAGGACTTTGTCGTCACAGCAGAAGACAATGACAATGTCTATAAGACTGCAGGAAATTATTGAAATTTTGGTGCGATCATGAAAGACGATGCTGATGTTTAGTTACCTTGGGGGTCATTCGGGGTTTTGCCTTAACCGCGTAAATAATCACAATCACACTGGTTCTTCCTAACTAGGGGGAATGGAACAATGAAAACAATTAATTAACAACCACAGCTCTACAGTACTTCTTATGACTCACTCTTGGTCTGTGTAGTTCCTTGATAGGCCAGGATCGGACAATCGCACTACAAATGATGTGTCAGTGTGAGCGGCAACCAGCAGCTTGTGGCAACGTATGTTACCATGAACCATTCCCGCCTCCTCCTACAACCATATAAAACAAGGTCATTCAATTTAAGAACTTGTTACAAAAGATTTGTTAGCCCTTAATTATTAAACTAAAAATTGTAGTTTTGTATTAACTCTGCTTTATTAAAAACAAAAGTAAATATTTACAAACACAACATAAACATATGAACATTAAACATATGTTATTATTTGTCATCTTCCCCTTGAGCTTGGAGTCCTAATCTTTTTTTTATGAATCTATTATTTCTTCTCTTTATAGCCTTATCTTTAATAGAAAATAAATAAGATCTGGGTTGTTGAAGTTTCTTCTCTATTACTCCTTCATCATGTTTTCAACAGTTTCAACCACAGATTCATCTTTTATTGAGTTGTACAATTTCAAACCATCTGTCCCCAGTAAATTTATCAGTCTGGCTAATTGAATTTCCTTACTTTCTTTTGTTGTTTTTGTAGCAATAAAGTAGATGTTGATTTCTTCCTTAAACTGTTTAAATTTGTCTAAAATGTTTCCATCTGATAGGTTGAGTGGATCTTGTTTATTGAACTCAATATTTTGACTTTACTTTCTATTCTTCAAAATCGACTGCACCATAATTATTAAACTAAAAATTGTAGTTTTGTATTAACTCTGCTTTATTAAAAACAAAAGTAAATATTAACAAACACAACATAAACAAATGAACATTACTGTCAATACTGTAAATACTGTTCAATGAAATGGCGACCATACATAGTAGGTATTTTAAGTAGGTATTAAACATATGTTATTTGTCAGCCCTGAACTGGTTTTAACTTATTTGAATCTTTTGACACTCATCTCTTTTCTCTAACCTTTGAACTTGTTACAAATGTTTTGTTTCCACTAACAAAACTAGTTACGTTGCCAACAGCACATCAATATCAATAACTTCAGCAAATTTGCAGCGTCTTCAGCGTTTACAGCGTAAGCTTTTGCAACATTTGCAAACACATAAAAAGCTTCTACGAATTTTTCTGCGAGATAGATAGCTTTGCACTAAAACAATTCCCAACTTTAGATTGGAATATGCCAAAAAGCGTGTTCGGAATAGTGGGACTCTACCATTCATTTTGTGTATGAATATGTTTGGCTCTCGTAGTGGGTAAATATAAGATTACCAAGTTCCAAAGTGCAGTGGCCAGGTAGTTGGCCGCCTCCACTAGGTCCACCTCCTTCACATGTCTGGAGTGATGTCTCAGGTAGGAGTCCAAGGGTCCCAGAGGTAGCAGCTCCATGACCAGGCCCAAGGGAGAGTTGAGAGTGATGCCGCACAGTCTGACCAGGGAGGGGGTCTGCACTGAGGCCCAGGCTCCCATCATAGCCAGCATCTCCTGCCATACAACACATCAGTAATTATCAGGCAATAGAAAACGTATGTTTATGTCCTAGTAATGACCTGTTATACACACTAATTCAGGCAAGGCCGAGCAGGTCTTGTCATATTTACATAGCTAAGTAAGTGGTGGACTCAAAATCTGGAAATGACCTATGGTAACTCTAAGAATTCTCAAACTCCAGTCAAATTCTTAGGTGTGATGATACAGAGCAACCTAAAATGGTTTTCCCATATTGATTTTATCGCTCCAAAACTCTCCAAAGGAATTTTTATTTTAAGAAATTTAAAATCAATTGTTTCTCCAGATGTATTGTTAACTGTGTATTTTAGTTATGTTCATTGTCATTTAGTATATAGTGCCATTCTCTGGGCTAATTGTAGCCATGCCAACATCTTGTTTGTTTTACAAAAAAGAGCCATTAGACTGTTAAGTAATGCTCCCCCACGTAGTCATTGTAAGCCTATATTTAAGAAATTGTCTGTGATGCCCTTAACCTGTATTTATATTTTTCAATGTCTGTTATATGTTAAAAACAACTGTGATATTTTACTTTGTAATAAGGATGTGCACAAGTATGCCACAAGGAATTGTAATAATTTAAGAATAGATCAGTGCCTTTATGCCACCACTCAAGCTAGCTTCAAATATACCGCTACCAAATTGTACAACAAGTTACCAGTTAAAGTTAAAAAGTTACCATTAAATGTTTTTAAAGTAGCCATCAAGAGAATTCTTCTAAAAAACTGTTTTTATAAAATAGAAGATTATTTTGCCTCAACCTTAGATTAGTTTTAAGTTGTATTATATTGTTGACGCAGCCTATACACTATTGTACTTTTCACAATTTGTGTCTATGGAATAAAGATGATTTGATTTGATTTGATTTGATTTGATGACTTTGAACCCAAGACCTCGGGAACAGAAGTCCCATGCTCTACTACTAGAACAGCTCTGAGAACAGCAGTACAGAAGATTCCCTTGTGTTTGGATCGTTAACGAATATCTACATAACCCACACACGTCACTCCAAATACCCATACATAGTGGATTAGTGAATAATTAATCCACAACACAACTCATTTAGTATGTTCTTATTTGATTTCTAGTTAACATAATCATTAGAACAGTAATATAGTACTGTACACATAATGTATGATTTTAAACCCATTCATGTTTGTATTAACTTCTGGTTGTGATAATGGAGACATTTTTAGTGCAGACAAGACTCTAGTTAAGGTATTGGAAAGGGTGTATATTATTACATAAGGAGTTTAAGGGGTAGAGGTTTCTTAATGGACCTTTTGAAGAGTTGCGATGCTGTACGATTGGACCAAAGATCCCGATACAAATTCTACACCCCCACCCCTCCTAGCCGCATACAAAACAATATTACTTTAAAACCCTTGTTTACCTCCACTTTATGATGATCAGACTTGAAGACTTTAAACGCAATATCGACTTTTCTCCTTTTCTTCCGTCGCCAAACACCACGATAAACAACAGATATCCGTCCTTGGTGCTCTTTTGTATGGCCTGCAAAGAAACAATCGTTTAACTTAATTTTTTATTACAATCGGTTACAAAAATACTGATTATTATATTCTATAATCACAGTGAAATTACTGTAAAATCTTTTGAGATCATGACAAAAACATCTTCTGCAGTCATGGTGAAATAAAGTTCATCTGCAGAAGATGTTCACGATTTCACCATTATCGCAGAGATGACAATCATCATCGTTTTATATTGTTTCATTGTATTCTCTTTAGCCTATGTTTGTTTTCAAAATAATGTAGGCCTACATGAATTCTTGTAGTTTCAACTGAGATAGTTATGATTTTACTATGGCAAAAAGCTGGTCAGTAATGTTAAGCTTTAGAGACTATCCTGCGCATTCCGTTGTCAAACTATTAAATGGAATCTTCACACAAACAATGCCTTGGGAGGCCGAAAATTTTCTTGGAAGAAGACAAAAGTATAATTTCTTGGATGAGGATTCTAAATGATTTTATATTGCTCTAAGTTTGTAATGGCTTGAAATTAATTTTAAGTTGAATTAGTTTTGTAGGAAGTTAATCTAGTTTATTTCTTTTACAAATGTCAACACAATAGTGTCTACGTTTATAATTTTAGCTTTAGTAATGTTTGGTAATGATGCTTCCAAGAAAATAAATAAAAGCATATTCTTATTTTCTGCGATAGCAACAAACCGTGTGTATCTTCTCGATCATGGCAAAATTGTGAACATCATCTGCGGTTGTAAATACATCATCATTATCTACGGGAAACTGTTAGGAGGGAGTAAAGTTCCTAGGGAAAACCTGATTGGTAGACTGCAGAAATTGATCGAGTTCACGGACATTGAAGGTCTCTGAATAAAACAATCATTGGGAAGCGATTTGAGGCTTCAGACCACCCCTTTAATATAAGATATTATCTCCACCATGGATCACGGCAAAACAAAAACATCACCCACAATCACAGTGAAATTGTATATTATCATGCATCGTTGAAGATGATTTTAGTAAATGCCAAATAACACAGCACAGGTTTGCTTTAAAAAAAACCAATTTGCACACACCTAACATAATTAACCAAATACACTGCTCAGACTATTAGATGGCCCGTCACAAATAAATCGAGGTCACGCAGGTCCCTATTTTTGACCCTATTGTAATGGTTTGTTTGATTGTATATAAGATCTATTTTGGATTCAAATTTATTTGAATATTAGACTACTGCATATTCTTACCTTTGAACAGCTGCAGTTCGCGGGGGTCTATGAAGTGAGTGACAGGACACATTGAGTCCGTTCCATCCTCATCATCAGTCTGCTCGTAGATCTCCTTGTCGGTCCGACACAGCAGTAACGGCGACACATCTGCAAACGACAATCAACAAGTCAGAACACCATAAAACGAAATTCTTCTCAGATTCTAGGTGTAAAATGAATACCCCCGCCGCAGCAAACCTGCAGACTAAGTGAATTTCCGTTTATCTGGCTGGACCTGATTGGCCATGAACTAATGCTGTCATCAGCCCAAGCAATCCTGGATAAAAGTTGGGGGGGAAATATCTACTTGTATATTGCATGAGGCTTTGATGGAAGAGCCAGGTGCTGAGGGACTTTGCAGTATTGGGAACCACTGTGAGGCCAAAAACCTTCTTAGGTTTCAGTGGCTAAGGTAAGGTAAGTAATACAGTAGACTCCCTTGTATCCGGACTCCTCGGGACCGAGGCCAGTCCGGATAACGGGGTTCCAGTTAAACTGACGTCCCCAAAAACTTGCATAATGTATAGCCTACAGTATTTGACTTAAATTTAGGAGACCTTTTTATACAGGTAATTGCTGATCTCAAATCTTTCCTAGATAACAGATCTTTCAGTACCGCCCACTTCCTGCCAATCTGGTCTGGTTAAACGGATGTGCTGATAAAAATTGTCTGATTAAAGAGATGTCATTTCCGCCGAGTGTAGTCCAGTTAAACTGATGTCCGCTTAAAAGGTGTCCGGATAAAAGGGAGTCTACTGTATCTACTTGTACTCGGTTTGTCACCAAGTACCACCACAACATCCTCTACGTACCACAGGTTGGGAATCACTCGACTAGACAGCATGATCTTCTTCCTCCTTTCAAAACCTACAGAACTGAGAAAGATTGTACTAATAAAGGAGCTAGTAGTGGAAATTCTAAATGTTTACATGTATATTAGAACATTTTCATCTATTGTTGTCCCTTATAAATCAACAATGTTATGGCTTAGATTTGCTACAGTATTCTTAATACTTGGTATTGATATAGGCTTAACTTACCATATTCAGAAGGTGGCAGGCACTCGACTAACTTCACTGAGCTCTCAGCTGATCTCAAGGCTGCAAGAAGTTCCTGTATTGTTGAGTAGCGTTTGTCTTCTCCGTTGAAAGTATAACCGCCTCCCACTCGTCTCTCGATCTTGTAGGTTGTCGGCTTTGTACTGTGAACCAACCAATCAATTACTACGATGTTGATACTATGTAGCCATTGTGAGAACAAATGTACATGTTGATTCATAATGTTTAACAAAACTTTAAGTGGCAAGTAACAATTACGAATGTGTGGTTATCAAAACAAGAGGCAACCATTAACATATTTGCTGAGGTAGCGTGATGGACGGCCGCAGCAGAGAGCGAGGACAGTTAATGCCCGTGGATGAGTGCACGAAAGTGTTTGAATTTCATCCAATATGAAAGGCATATTATAGCATGTACTGTGTCCCAGTCGTTGTGGACGTAGTTTTACAAGAACCCAATAGATAGCAGAACTAAACAAAACTGTTAGTCGGCCTTCAGTAAAAATTGCTAAATGGAGGGAAAAAGGAGGGGTGAAGTACCCGGGTACACCACTAAAAAATACTGCAAAAAAGGGGTCAAGCCCAATAAAAAACACTCACTGTTCACAACACAACCAAGGTCGAAATATCGCAATTTCCTCTATAGCGTAACAATAAGTTACAGACTGCAATAAACATATAAAACACCCGCGACTAGGCCGTTGGTAAAATCATGCTGTAGGCTATCTACCGTACTTAAAATATACTTGACATTCTTGTATACTTGTAGTTTCCATCCGTAGTCCAAAAGCAGGAATTGGACAGGTCAATAGGGTAGCAATAGTAATTAATAACTCTTATAAAAATCACATTCTAGGCCAAAGGGCTCTGTTTTGTGAAATTTAGAAAATCTTTCATATCATAAAAACAATTTTTTGTCAGGAAATACTTTATTCCTGTTTTGAATTTTGAGATTTTTTATGTTTTGGAGGTTTTTTGGCAGTACCTGGAAAAGTTTTAAACCGGAATAGTGGGGTTTTTGTTAAAACATGTTGAATGTGTTGTGATTTTATGTCAACTACTGTTTTATAAATGAAGATGCAAGGGATAGTCAAGCATGCCCAGGATGGTTCTTATTGCTTTTTTTTGCCAGACAAAGACTTTGTCCAAATTCTTCTAGGTGGATGATCCCACAAAATGATGGAATATGAAATGTACTGCTCGAACAGCCCGAGATGGACGAGCCTGGACAGATCATCGCTGCTCCTACGTAGAATGAATAGTCCTCGAGCAAGCAATCTCTCTAATCTTAATTTAATCTCTCTAATCTCTAATCTTAATCTAATCTTAACTTACAATTATCAATCTTAATGATTGATTGCCTAATTGATAATAATTAATTGATAATCTACGAATGTGCTCGCCCCATGTACAGCATTAAATTACTATTGACATAGCATAAAGAGATAGTATAAATGAGGAGTATGGAGTCGCATAATTAATTAACTTAAGGCTTTAGAAATAAATTAAGCACTTACCTATTTTCTGTGCAAACATCTAGATAATAATGATCATAGGCTAGTTCGCTTTCCCGTAGGATGTAGCATCCAGGTTTATTGGATCGAAGCTTTTGCAGTTTATTGTACGAGAACTCTCCCCTGAAAAACATTAGCTTCATGAATATTAACAAGACTCGGGTTTGGACCATCCCTTAGAAAAATGTAATAATAAATACCACACAACAGCTAAACTGTAGACTGAGTGAATTTCCATTAATGTTTTTAACTGGTTGGATTTTCACTAATATTTCCTTAAAATTGTAATTTTTATTTTATAGGCTAAGTTAAATAAGATTGGCCCTAATTTTAATGAGTACTTAGTTTGCTGAAACAGGAAAGGTAATAAAGTGTGTGTTTTTGTTCAAAAATTGAAGTTAAATAGCTTCTAGTATGAATTTGCCACATTTGATTAAGACATTTATATCCTCAAATTTAAGTATGAAATGAAGTTTTTTATATCCTTGTAAACCTGACGATAGTTTATTTATTTATACCCTCTCAGCCGTTACATCATTTTACAATAAATACATGAGATATTGACATGTTAGTTTCTGAAATATCAAAAAGTGCTAAAGTCAGTAACTATTACAATAAATATAACAATAGCCTAACAAAAACATATACCGTAGAGATTTGAACGTAATGAAAATAAGAAATAGCAAAATTTTGATAAGATACAAGTAATAATGAGAGTGTTTAATGATACAATCTCAGATAATATTGACAATCAATGAAGAACTAAGAAAAGGTGTGATTAATAGGACGCATGATGATATAATGCCCGACTACATTGAGAAACAAGAAACAGCTTATGATGATGACATAATAACAGGGATACAAAATAAAAGCAAAACAACCAAAAAGGGTAGTAAAATTGACAAAATTACCGTTACTAATGACTAGATGGAGGCGAGAATATTTAGAGTGAAGTGGGGTAAGTGTTTTGGCATAGTTCAGCTTTGACCTCAAATTGCAATCTTGTTATAGCCTACATGATATAGTTCTGAAATTGTTTATGCATAAACTTTGACTAATGGGCTTTAAAACTATATGCATTGTTATTAAAAAATAAAATCTTTTTTGGTAAAAAAAATTACTAAAAATTTTGCCAGGGTTCGGGCAAGTGTAACCCCTGCCTGTTAAAAATATATAAAGCATTGAAAAAGAGACATGGGGCAAGTGGCCAGATTCTAAATCTTTTGCTGATTCCAAGACTTTAAAATACTTATTAAAATATCTGAATTTTTACTCAAGTTACGAACTTTTACGTGAACCTCTTCTCGCGTTTTGTGAAAAACGCAAAACATGCAAAACGGAAAGATTACTGTTAAAACATAAAAAACACAACATTAAATGGTACTTAGATGGTTTTTAATGTTGTTTAACATGTGTAGAATAAATCTCACACTCACAGTAATATTGTTTTTTTTTTTATTTACATTTGGGCAAGAAAATCCTAAATTATAAAACGGGGTTAGTTTAACGTAAAAGTTATTTGGTCACTTAAGCAGTTCTCATTAACAATAATGTTTTTCTTCTCAAACCAACTTAACTCAGTAACAATATGTGTCAAATTTTACCTTATCTTCTAAATTCCTAATTTTATATTTAGGCTACAACAAGGTTTTTTTTCTTTACTTTTACTGGATATTATATGAGTTACACCCTGGTTACACTTGCCCCAAATCCAAAAAGCCACTTGCCCGACTGCAAAATTTCAGGGGCAAGTGTAACCACGCTTGTAAAATCTCTAAACAATAGGAAATAGCATAGATCTGAAATTATATTCAGATTCTACATGCAAAGATTAGTTTGTAAACCAAAAACTGTCAAATTTACATTAAAAATGTGAGTATGAAAAATTGTCAATGTTTGAGGTCGGCACTTGCCGATGGAGTGGAAATGTAAGCGTTTTTTAACATTCTAAAACTATTACTTGCACATATTTGATATGCATTCTTAAGGCTAAATATAACAAAGGAAGGTCCAAATAACAAGATATGATAGTATTTAAGTTAGGTCCAAAATTATCTTATCAGTTGAGTGATGAGCCGTGGTTACACTAGCCCCCCCCCCCCGGTTACTCTTACCCCACTTCACCATAGATAAGAAGCCGGTTGATCCTCGACCTGAAGCTGTGAGTTGAAATGCCAAAAAAGTCGACATCCGTTCCAAGAACATAGTTCTTAAACTCCAAGACATAGTTCAATCCAAGAATCAAAAGTAGTTGCCTCAACAACAAGCAGATTATTCTACAAACCTCATCCTAAAAAACGCTAACATATTGAGCTATTGCTAGGAGCTGTTCACACATTAGGCCTACTTCAAGGATTAAACCTAACTTAGAGGATTGCAGCATTATCACTCAGATAAAATCCATTGGTGATTGGCGGGATTTGAACTTGTGACCTCAGGGACCGAAGTCCCGCCCTCTGCCACTAAATCAGCTCGTTCCCAACAAAGGATTACTGTATACGGGTATTTAAACAATTAAACCTATGTTATGAATAAATAAAAAGGGCCTTAAATGAATTAACATTAGACTAGGCCTACTAATTCATGAATTCAGGTAGGTAAGCCTAAGTTACCGTTACCAACTTATTAAATAAAATATTGAAACCCACCCGACAGGCCCATGGCACTTGATGGAATGCAGCCTCTCTAGAGAAGGAGTCGGCAAGTCCTTAGACAAACTGAAAGTCCATTTGACGCCAAGTCTGTAGTAACCATCTAGAAGACTGACCAGCGAAAACATACTCAATATGGAGACAAACTTAAAATAGATTGGGATTCCTGTCTTGCGTGCGATTTCCATACTTCCATCACTCCTGACTGTTATAAAGCATAGTTCTTCAATGGAGCAAACATGCACCCACTGCAAATTGGAAATAAAACACAAATTAGTAACACCGATTAGTAACATTAGCCTAACTTAATGATTCAGAACAAAAAAACTTTTTGGGACAGTCTGTGCCCCAAAATTTGGCACTCTGGCTCAATTAGCTGCCTAAAAAGTGGGGCCTGTCTTTCTGTAACAATCTCGTATCTTTTACAAGTATAAAGCACTCTGTTTGAAAAATACTCTACTGTATTCAAAGGACCAGGCGGGTTGACTGATAGCGGGAACAGCTCCAATGAAAATCTTTACTAAGCATCTTTCTCTCTATCTTCGTTAACCTAAGCATTTAATTTAGGCCTAGACACGCAATGGGCAATAGGCATCAATGTATTAACCAACCGTTATAGGCCTACAAAGTCACAGTTTGTAAGCCCAGTACATAAAAGACACAATTTTAAGCCAATGTAAGTTAGGCTACTTAATGATTCTATTTAAGTAACCTACATCGACTTTAATCGGGTGCTTCGTATAAGTTGGCGGTTTGTTAATAATATAATATATATAGATATATTGCCCATTGCATGTAAATTTCAAAAAGCGATCACTGATTCCGGTGATCACTAACTTGTAGGTGACCAGCGTTTCTTCGCAAGAAACCTCTAAGTAACTTACAATGTAAGTTACTAAATAGGCCTTCTAAGGAGTGAAGAAATTTGAAGATAGATGAAGATGACGACTCCCCTTTCCTTGGATAGTGGCGAGGACTTCGGATGGTAAATGGTAAATGGCCTAGGCTAGGTATAGGACAACCTATAAGAACCACTTACCTCTTTCTGTCCATCAGAAAGATACTTTATTCCAGGATATTCCTTTTCATATGGATTAATATGAATATTTATTCCTCTGATTGTCCCTCCTTCGTCAGCAAAAGCTTTGTACTCCTCGCTCAAGTAACTTGGAGCTAAGGCCTCAAGCTGCTTCAAGTATTGGTCCTTGACAAACCAGGCATCATATTTTCCTTCTTTTGCATTCTTCTCTATAATTTTTAAGGAATCATGCATAGGTTTTTTGGCATAGAAAAAGTGTTGATTATAAACTTCCTTTGGAATATACTTTTTGTAATCGCTTTCGACTGCTTCTCTTGATGCTCCAGTCTCTAAAATAACTCTAAACATATCAGCAACACCCATTCCTAAAAGCTCACTCTTATTTTTCTCACAATTTATATCTGGTACATTGTTGTTCAAAACATCGGACCTTGCTTGATGGAAGTAGAAGTTGTATGCTTCTCCATCAATAGCTCTTAGCTTACTGAAGTCTGGCACTTTGAATCTTAATCTAAAATCAAAGATTGTTATTTTAGAGTCTGTTAATTTTACAAGTGGACTGACCCATTCTTTAGTATTGTGAAAGCGCAAAGCAAAAAGATGTCGAGCAACAGGTTTTATATTATACCTTTGGCACAGGTCAATCACTATGTCTTCTGCTCTTGTTTCTTTATCAACAGCACACCTAACAGGGTCTTTGTGGATAACATCATAAACTTTAATGAATTGGCTGTAATCCATTTTGTTTAATGTAAACGCACCATAGTCAGTTATTTTAATTAGAAACCCACAACTGATTTTACCATTTTCGTGTAGGCCTAGGCCTAATTGAAAATTTGGTTATATGACACCACAACAAAGTTTGCGTTCCTCAGCTTCTAACCTAGCTGCTAGAAGACCAACTTGCTATATTTTCCGTCACATGTCATTCTATTTACACAAATATCGATTGGAAAGAATTAATGTAAGAGACAACAAAGAAAATAATGCTGTAATATTGACAAAAGTCCGACTGGTTTAAAAGATAACCAATAACTTAATCCCACAAACACAACCTGAAGCCTAACCAATCTAACATAAATTTTCACAATAAATTTAATAAATAAAAAAAATAGGCCTAGGCTAGGCACTAGGCAGTCGTGTTTATTTCTGCTGTTCTTGTTCTGATTTCTTATGTCATCCAGTAGTGCCAGTCGTAGAACTTTTTTACTAATTTCATTTCTGTTTTATTCATTGTTCGCATGTTGGCAACACTACTGAAACCATGTTCTAAAAACACTACTTGGGTATTATCATTGATTATTTATTTATTTATTTGTTTTATTACAATGCTGCATAAAGGATAAACCCAATTACATTGTAGCATTAATATTCTAATTACAAAATCTTGACATGCATAGTAAATAATAAATAATGTAAAAGTTCCTCTTGCTAAAGAAATTATAACTATTAGTGTAATCGCTCACAACAATACAATAGATGACCAAAAAGAATAAATAGCAATAAATAACCTACAAATAAATATCTTAAAAAATAACATTGGCAATTATTTAAATATCTATAACAACAATAACGAATTAAATAAATACAAGATTATTATCATGGTATTATCGTTGATTATATGACGACTTATTCGTCTTTTATGTGCTTATCCCCTATGAAGGATTGTTTTTTTTCCAATACAAAATGCATTTGAATAAAAATTTTATGGTAGGTAAGCACAATAAAAAGTAGTATTATATGACAATAAATATACACAAAAGATACTAGGCTGTGGACCAGCACAATCCAAACGAGCTCCAAAACAGGGGCAGTAAAGAGTAAAATATTCATTAAGAGAATGGAAGGCAGGAAGGCTATAAACAAACATTATAATTATTCATCATTTTAAACTTGATACAACATTTTGAATGACAAGATGAAATCGAAATGTCAGAACATTTTGACCGTGCCTTAATCCTCAAGCTCTTTCTGTTAAGTTGCAGAACCTTACAACGCCCTGGCAGATGGTGTATTTAATCATAGTCTCCTATATAATCTTCTGAATTTCAAACCATATAGATTTTTCACAAAGCAGTATTTTATACAAAAGTGTAAGGGATTAGAATAGTATATTTTATTACTAGGACCGAAAGTGGCATTTTCCGGCAAGCGATCAAGTTTTTGTGCGAGGCTTTCATTTGCTGAGAAAGCTATTTTCACATACAAGGCAAAGCCGATGACGAGAATACACTGTAATGGAGCAAGTGCCGGAAGATATAACTTTCGGTACGATTTATGAACGATACTTTTCATTAACAACGCAAAAATACACAAACACAGAATACCTCAGTAATATTAGAACTACTGTATTTTATTTCTCAATTAATTCGTTTGAACATTAAAAATAACATAAAATATTCTGAGAGGAAACCTATGTATATTTCTCAATAAATTGTTTTACAATTTTCTAGGATGCCAGTAAGAAACTACAGAGTCTTTGTAAACAAACATTAAATTTTACACTCTAACTCTACGGCTAGACCACCCATTACCATATTGCAGTTTTCGGGCAAAAATCGTCAATTAATTCTCTAGGAAGCTGATGCTGATACCCACAGTTTATTATAGTTAACCGTGTACGTAAGTTAGGATTGCCGTTATATTGAAACTACTATCATAGATTGAATAATTATCCTATCTCTTGTATATTTAATCTGTGATTCTATCACGCCTAAGATCATATTTCACTAATTTCTGTACCAAAATTATAAATTAAAATAATACCAGAGGAGGTATATAGTTTTAATCTAGGACTGCTCAAGGCCACACTCAGATTGCAAACCCCATTTTGCCGTTTAGAAATATTATAAAAACTATAACAATAAAATAAAAAATATATAAAAAATATGTAAACAGATATTTGACGGACAGATCACGTTTTTAATGTGGCAGTGGAATTGGTTTTAAATACCTTAGGGGATTAGGTAGTATACCGAGACGACAGAAAACTATGCAGTTGCATGGAGAAAAATTAGCACGCAACTGTTTTACAAAAAGTAAACAACTTTTTGCTCTTTCCGTTTCCGCGTTCCAGCTCCGCGTCATTTTTGTATGCCCTGCCCTGATTATTGTGGTCATTCATAGGTTGGATTGTTAGTTAGACTCTGAAGATTAGACCTACTCAAGAGATCGATGGGCCCACTGTCAGAAAATTATTTGTGTTCCTATTCAAAATCTTTCTTCCTTGAGAATTACATAGTTTAACTACTAGAGATATTGTTATACGTAACTAAGTTTACAATAAGCTTCAACACTAACAAGGATTAGGATGAAGAACGAGTTTGGCTTAAAGAAATTTGCTGACAGACTTCATCAATTGAAAGTTTGTTTTAATGATCAATCAACTGTCTACAATAAAGAATCAAGAATCGTGAAAATTATTGCTGAAGAGCAAAACTTAAGGCCGGAAGCGATTGTCAAAAAAATTAACTATTTGGAAAACATCTACCTTCAAGAAAAGGGCAAAGTCCTAAGAGACAGTAATTACAAACCAATCACCGCTTGGTTTACATCAGCAGATAAATTGTTCATTAAAATTAAGGTAACTTAAACCCATTATTTAAAAACAAGGTTTGAAATTGCTGTAAGATTTATAAAACTAGGCCTAGGCCTGCCTTAGTCCTATTTTATTTTATCTAGCCTAAGTTAACCTAAGTTAGACCTAGGCTAGGCTGGCCTACGCCAAGCCTAGGTCCAGACAATTTTACTTTTTTTTATGGCCCACAACCCTGATATTGTTCTCTTACTAACTTAGCCTAATAAATGATGCTAAGTTATAAGTAAGTTAAGTTAGCCTAATATGTAGAGATACTTTCCGTATTAGGCCAATCCCCTTGTGCTTTAAGTTACCACATTTTCCTTATTTTAAGTTAAAACAGTCAAATATTTTGGGCTATGTTAGCCTATAATGAACCACAAAACCCTAGCCCGACTTTTTGTTGCCAGGCTTTTCGGTAGGCCTACCGTTCCCAAGGCCAGATTTCCCCATAGGCCCTTTAGGCCCGGGGATAACTTATGGGCACAAGCTCCCAGGGGGTACATGGCTGAGTGAAAAAATCTTGTTTATCTCTAATTAAAAATAAATAGCCATATCCTTAGGCTAGGGCCTACTTAAGTTAATTTTGCGAATTGAACAAAAATCTGGCTAATTTAACTTAACATTATAATTAAGAAGTTTGTTAGTTTTTAATTAATTGTTGGTAAGATAAATTGTTTTTCAACATTGGGCCCACACATCAACTTTATTTTAAACACGGGAGAATTTTATAACTTACCGGTAGGGATGTTGTCGAGCAGTACCGGTAGGCCTACGCATTGTATGTAAGTTATTGCCATTTCCACTGCCGGTACTTTCCTGTTAAAGGGAACATTTGTTATTATCGATGATTGTTTGTCGATATACTTATCAATATTAATAAATTTTAAGTTAATCCACAAATCGTTATGCATGTAATTGTGTAAAAATGTTGATTTTGCCGTAAACAAATTAATAAATAAATATTTTATATTTCGATCGATATCGACAAATTGTTTTAACATAACTTATCAGCTGATAACCCCGATAAATATAGACTGTTTTAGTATCAACAAACAATTTAAAAAAATATTAGCCTACCTACCTACTTAATATTGAAATGAAACTGTTTTAAACTAACCAAACTTGCTGTAACATTTCAAAATTCCATTTGATAATGCTTCCACTTGCCTTTCTGTTCAAATGGAATTTTGAAATGGTACATTAAGTTTGAATAGTTAAGTTAGGTTAGTTTAGAACAGTTTCATTTCTTAATCCAAATAGGTACCGGTATAATTATTTTGGCCTAAACAAAATCCGTTGTCAATTTGTAATTTAAATGCATTTGAAGATATATTGAAACAGATGTAATAGCCTATGTATCGCAAAGAAAACAAAATATCGATATAACTTATCGAAAAAAATCATCGATAGGTAATAATGAATGATCCCTTTAACAGGAAAGTCCCACTGCCACTATGCTGGCTCGGCCCTACTGCTCGGAGTGATTAGGGGCTCATGCCAAAATGTTATTGTTGAGACATAGTTACTACCCTTCTTATTACTTCGAGAAACTAAAGCTGCAGTCCACTCTTGGTAATTCAAACATTTGATACCTCAAAACTTTCGATAATTCAAAATGAAGGCTCAGTCCCTAGAGAATCTCTCAATATTTCAAATTTTTACCATGCATTTTGATACACTCGGTATTTCAAAGTCCAAATAGAGGGCAGGTCAATTTGTAACACGCAGTAATTCAAAGTTTCGTCGGAAAAACACTCTATAATTCGAAGTAACTCAGTAATTCGAAGTTTTGTCGGTTAACACTCTATAATTCGAAGTAATGCTGTAATTCGAAGTTTCGTCGAAAAAACACTCTATAAATCAAAGTCACGCAGTAATTCGAAGTTTAGTCGGCAAAACACTCTATAATTCGAAGTGATCTCTTCCTGTTATAACAAGAAACTATACTGTACAGTACATCCTGTTCCCATGGTAGGCTAGTGTTGGACGTTTTGATGTTTGTTTAGTTAGAGCAGTAGTCTGAGTTAGTTCGCTGACTTGTTTTTCTAAGTTGGCAATCCGATCTCTAGATTGCACGACATCTCCTTGAGCACAAACGTCGTTGTCGACAGCTGATAGTTCAGCTATTGGCGAAATATATAGCGCTAAATAACAGATTTCTTTGCAACTACAGTAACTGAAAAACAAGCCGTTGATTGTTTAAAAGTGTACTAAAATACGGTATGATGTTTTATTGTAACGTGCTGTACCTTTGTATGTATTAAACAAATTAACTCTCTGTAATTCGAATGGTTTATTTTTCTCCCGATAAATCAAACTCTTGATAATTCAAAACTCTTGATAATTCAAATTTATATGCTTGGCCCACCAATTTCGAATTATCAAGAGTCTACTGTACTAACCAATCTCTTGATTAGCATTCAACCTGCAGGATCAAGTTAAATTTATACCCACTGTAGTGGGAAACCATATAAATGACAACCCTGGCTTGGGGTGCAAGAAAGAGGAAAATTCCCTCACAAGCAGTTCATAACTTACTGGGGGGAGGGGGTTTTTACTCCCCCTAGAGAACTTAAACAGGATTTTTTTTTAGTTACAATCTTTTAACAATTAAAACGTCACTTTTATATGACTCTTAACAGCCCAAAAAGTGTTTTGAGGTCTAATTTTCAACAAAACCCTCATACTCCTTCTTCTTTAGGGGGTATTTATTAATTTGCTTAGTCTGTAGGATTTCTGCGGAAAGAGGGGGGTATAAATTTGTTGTTGTTATTTATTAAATTTGGTTCTTTTTCACAATTGAAATCTTGAGTTCAAATGTGACTTGGCAATGTTTGTGTTCCAGGAAGAAGCTGAAGTAATCAATGTTGAAGAAGAGGATGAAGTAATCTATGTTGAAGAAGAGGATGATCCTGCTGAAATGCCTACGCAGCCAAATACCAGCTTTGTAGGCCTACCAGATCACAAGCTCAAGGTGTTCTGTGGGTAAGAATTCTCAAATCTGCAACTACTCCTGAACATTAGCTAACCTTTGAACCAACCTTGGTACCCTGGTACCTTTGAAGCAATTGACTCACAAAGAATTTAGGGTGCTCACCACTAGATATTCCTAGTACATTTCCATAACTTTCTACGCCATGATTTATATATAAGTGCTTTGTTAACCTTGCACTAAACAATAAAAAGTTGTAAGATTATTCACACAGCTCTTTAAGACTAAAATAGACGTTTATATTTTCTATAAAATGGAGCGCTTTCTAGAGGTTGGTAAGTGTTGCTTACAAAGTTAATAGAATTAATAAACATTAACTCAAGTCAAAGAAAAATGTGGAAGGATCTGTAAATAATGAAGATTCTATTAAACTGCACTTTAAGTTAACTTAATCGGGCAATTTCAAAATATTTGTTCTCACCAGCTTTATTGTTTTAAATAAACAAGCATTTGGAAGTATTATGTATATTTTCAGTGGCGGTCCCAGGATTTCATTTCGGGGGGGGGGGGGGACCATAACCTGGGGTCTGGGGGGTATGGAATATCCTAAATAGAAAGAACCCCCCCCCCCAGAAAAAATTGGAATTTAAAGCCTAAAAATGTATTTTTATACGTATTTGAGCTCTAAAATATTTATTTATTTATTTATTTGCCAACGGATTTACACCAATTTTACAGTTTGATTGAGTTGTAATATGCTCAAGCCAATACTATTTAAGTTAGCTAATAAAAATATAAAATATATCAGGAGGGGGGGATACATTCCTCCCATCCCCCCCCCCCTGGGACTGCCACTGTACATTTTAGAAGAACTAATTACTTTTTCAATACGATACTGCATATTTCCTTCAATCTATACCACATTACTTTGTTTCAATACCAATGAAGTATCGCTTGATTTGATACCGAGATTGATACCATTAGATAGAAAAGTATCAAAATTTATTGGTATTGATAGTATTGCAATGTCACTTTTCCTGCTCCAGCCCACTTTTCTTCGCTACCCTCTAACTTATCTGCGCTCTCCATTTCACTTGTCAAGTTCCGCAGAAAATTTGTTGATCAATTCTTTTTGCACAGTTCATTCGGTTCTTTTCCGACCAGTTTGGACGACTATCTTTGATCCAACGGTTCAATTCAAGCAGCCTTTTTATTCTGCTTTGCCGCTTCTGGACAGTTCTGAAAGCAGAAAGCAGTTTGCTTAAATGTTGACATGAACACTTTCATTTTAAAAAGAAAAATACCTTAATTTTGCTTTTTGTCTACCTATTAGGCTCTAAGTACATTAAATTTTTAAAAATTCTGAATTATCTAAGTAAAGAGTAAGTTATCTTTCCTTTATGTTTATTAGATGTATTATGTATCTTTTTGCTCAATAAACTAGGTAGCTGTCCAGAAAGAAGCAGACATTTCGCATTGGCACCACTTAGAGCGATGGATTTCAAAGATCTTAACGTATGATAAAAAATGGAGTCTTGCTGCAGCACTGATATTCTTGAAAGACTAACAAAAGTGGAAGCCAAGTTTAAAGTAATTTTAAATCCAGTGCACAATTCCTCGCTCGGCCTTCTTTCATTGCTCCTTTGCTGTATACATCCCAAACATTGTGACAAATTTTGTGTGTAAACAAAAATCTGATCACAGAACCCAACTCACAAATGGCAGTTACATCCCATCGCAGACAAAGTAAAGCCCGGTTTACACTATGTAGCAAAACCTGCTATATAACTTTTCCTATATAACATTGTCATATAACCTTTGCTATATAACATTGCTATATAACTTTTGCTATACAAAAAAGTTACAGCCAATTTTGTGATTCCGGTGGCCGTGCTATATCTTATATGTAGCACAACCTCATTCTCATTCCGTATCGAAAAGGTCAAGCCGAAGAGACATTGGTCGAGGCAGCTATCACAGTGATCGAAAGTCAGAAGAGGAAGTGATCCATAATTAAAACGCAAAATAAGGCGATGGCAGCTTAAAAAATATTTTACGTATGACAACAACGCCAGTTGTGGAAATATAATTGTAATATATATATTATAATATAAATATAATATATGATGAAATATAACTAACTGTTGCCCACGGAACAGTTCAATTAAAGTTAATAATAGCATGTAAACTCCTTTCCAGTCCTTCCATTGTAAACAAAGATCGCCGAGCAAAAACGTCCGTACACAGGAGGCTACAACCGTGAAATGTTGACACTAAATGCTACATATAGCAGATGCTAGACGAAAAATATTTGTACAGTAGAGTCCCACAAACTCGGCGTAATGTGGACTGGAAGGGTGCCGTGTTTGTGAAATGCCGGGTTATCGGGAACTAGGGTTAAAAATAAAAAACAATAACATTTTCAAGCCTTTTACCTGCCTTCTTTATTTATATTTATAATACAAGTCAGTGTTAAGTTATCAGATATAGTACAACAAATCCTTTTTACAAGTAACAAATGATTTGACTTGAGCTGGCTTGAGTCCATGTTGAACTTGGACTCAAAAAATCACTAATTTTCTGAGCTAGGTGATGGCCGAGTTATCCAGACTGCCAGGTTATCGAGTGCCGAGTTTGCGGGACTCTACTGTATAACATTGGTTACATATAGTAATGTTAGATGTAGCTACTGACTCCCGATTGATAGCACAACTTTTGCTACATATAGCAGAATCTGCTACAAATAGCAGTGTTGTATAGCACTTTTGAAAAGTGACTTTTTTTACTTCTAGCAAATGTTATATAACATTACTAGATGTTACACAAATCTGTTATATAGCAGGTTTTGCTACATAGTGTAAACCCGGCTTAAGATAGGATGTACACGCTCGCATAAACTGGATGCAAACTGAGTGGACTGAGATAGCAGCGATAGCAACATCCCAGGTGGCACCAACGTGAAATGTCTTCTTCTTTCTGTATGGCTCTCATATTGTAAGTGACACAGGGGTAATGAATTTTGTCTTAAATTGCCAGTGAAAAACGTGAAGATTTCAAAACCAAAAATGAGGAAGATGAGCTGGTTCGATATAAACATGATCTATTATCCATAATGGCAAAACTACCCAAGAGGAAACGTGAAAAATTACAGCTTAAATTCACTAAAGAGTTAATAGCTCGTGTTGAAGAAAAACAGGATCAATTGAAAAAAAGAAGACACAAAACAATAAAAAGTAATACCACCTAGGTCTTAATCTTGTTTTGCTTACTTATTTGATTTGAAAGAAGGTGAAGTTTTCATAATAAAATTCCAACTTTGAAATATGTTGTGAGCTTGCTTCATTGAAAATTAAAATAAAAAGTAACATATTAATTACATATTTAATTGAAAAGTAGATATTAATGAAAATAATATTCTAAGCATGAAATGTTTTAAGCTTGTTTGTTGAAAACAAGTAACCAATCACAATATTGTAAAACATATTTATTTTACTATTAATATCAAATTGATTAGCCTATGTCTGAGTGTTTTAATGAATTTCTCATTTAGGGAATAAGCTATTACCTACCGTTGGTCTCATGGTAAGGCCTGGACTCGGGACCAATTTACTTTTTCGTTTTGAGTTCCCAAAAACTGAATCCCATTAAATGAAATACAGGGTGTCAGGGTGTATAATCACTCTTTAGAACACTTTTGTATATATGTTCCTTTCGACCAAGAAAAACATCATATAAACATGGGTCTAAAATGGCCGGTTTTTTGTCTGTCTATGTGATTTTCATAAATGTATACATAACTTTTTAATGCCTTAAGCGTTTAACTTCAAACTTAGTAGCCAACCTAAGGGGTCACAAATAAGACAAATATTTTTACAAAGTATCAATTTTCTAAATGTTACTAATTAGAAATGGCGACCATTTAAAATTTTCTATCTTTAAAATATGTTTATAGTAAAAACTGTTAAGAGTGTGCGTTTTTCGGAAATATTATGTCTAATTTTAGGATACCTTGATTAGGCTCCTTTTATTCACCGCAGCGATCCGACGTTGTGGCCGACCGCTGCACCAATATGTCAAGCGGCAAGCCGCTGCGATTAAGGTGGAGAGTGTAACAGTGCTGCTAATCACATTGCCAACCAGATTACAGTAAAAAAAGTGCCTTAGGAGTGCGTTGGAGATGCTTCCCATAAATCAAGCTGAACATGTAGGTGGTACTTTTATAAACCTCTTTGGAATGTTAAGAGAAGACCGTGAGAAGTATTTAAAAAATTATTATCGAATGTCGGTGCCATCATTTGATGAACTTGCTTTGAATGTTTGTCAGACCACGACTACAAGAAATGAAATACTCCGAGGATACAGTCATTTTGACCACAGAGCTTCAGCTAGAAACGAATTGACCACACAACCAACTACAATGCCCACAGCTTAATAACAAGACCACGTATCGTCACACTCTAAGTGACTTGGGTTGGCAGCAATGCAAGAGCGACGGCAGGCTGTCGCATTGGATAAACAATCCTATACAACACAACACAATGCATATAGGAACCATTTGCCGCCTGTGGTTTCTAAGTGCAAGCAGCTGAATTTACAAACCTCCGCAGCAACCTGCTTCTTTTGAAGCTGCGAGACTTTTTTAATAAAAGCAAACATTTACAGCAATGCCCTTACAAAACCGCGGTGGTGGTTTTTTGGCGTCCTTAATAAAAGGGCCTCATAAAATTTGGTTGATAAAAATTTACAATAAAACATTTTCATGGTCCAGATTACCGTACCTAAGTGGTGCGGTGCAACAATAGGAAAAATGTAAACATCATAACATTCATATACCTACTGAACAAAATGTCACAAAAATTGTTATTTCTTGGTTGTTTGTAAACCGATCTTTACAATTGAAGTATTGTTGGATTAGTCATAACATTTCCTAAAAACGCATACTCTTAATAGTTTTTAATATAACCATTTATTTTAAAAATATATTACACAAGTTAGACAATTTTTAATGAGCGCCATTTTGAATTGGTAATTCATAGGAATATGATACTTTTTCAGATATTGGTACTATTTATTACTAATTATGTACTAAGTTTAGTGTCAACCAACCTTTATTCAAACAAGATCGTAAATCAGCATGATTGAACTATGGGAACAGGGCCTTATTGGGGGTTTTATGGGTTAAAAATGGATTCTTCCCATTTTTTACCTTAAAAACTGGGTATTATTTTGCAATTTATTTCCAAACCGTTTTGTATTGCAAATAGTAAATTGGAGCGTTGTCATGCGCTTAATGGTTAAGAAGAAAATATAAAAATATTAAATATAAAATTCCCATGTTGTTCTTTGTAGTTTGCTTGTTTATGAACATTTTATGAACATTGTTTATGAAAATTTTTCAAATTGATCAAATTTGAAAAATTTATTTGTATTTCATACTATGCTATTCTATAAAAACACCTAACTACCTACCTTGTTGCAGCAAACCTAAGTACTCGTTAAACTTATGTTATTTAAATAGGAAATAAAATATAATATTTTTAAGGAAATATTTCAGTGAAAATTCAATCAGGGAAATGCAAATTTGCTAAGTCTGCAGGTTGGCTGCAGCAGGGGTATGTTGAAACGGCTTAAAAATCACAAAATTTCCTGGACGATACAAATAACCACTGCTGTGGTTATTTGTATGATTTATTTTATTTTGCTCAATGTATTAGTGATATCATCATAATCATACTGTTTCAGTATCATAATTTCATACGGTGAGCAACTTATTCATACTGTTGAGTGTTCCGATCAAGTTGTTAAAGTATTTAATTTTGTCTTTAATTACCAGTGATGTTCAAGAAGATGAACAACCAGAAGTGGATGGTGAGCTCGATGCATTTGGGTCAAACATGATCCACTTGATGGCTAAATTACCAGTTGAGGAGCGTGAAGCGATACAATACCAGTTCATACAGAAAACCACAGAATGTGTCAACAAGTACCGCAGAAAAGCGGGAAGATACAACAATGAACAATAAGATACTGATTGTCAGTTTTACTTAGTTAATTGATTTGCAATAGCTTTGGTAGCTTTCATAGAAGTGTTATAACATTTTAAATGTAATTGTTGACCTTTTTTTATTGAAAATTAATTTCTTGAACTAAATATTGCAAATTGTAATACAAGGTTTCTTTGTTTATTTTATTTACAATAGCTTCAGAAGCTTTCAGTGAAATTAAAAACAAAAATACTATCAATATAATTTTTTCAGCTTGTTTTATTGAAAGTCAATTTTTAAAACTGAATTGTAAATAGTGCAAATTTAATTTATAGTGGCTTCTGAAGCGTTCAATGAATTGTTCCACAATTTGAAATAGGCTAAGTTGAAATAGGGTTTTAAGTTTGTTTATTCTTTCTTGTTTTTCTGTTATTTATTTTCATTTATTGTTGTTATTGTTGTGAGAGGTTGTACATAGCTTTGACTAAAAATAGAACCAGACATTCAATTTCCATGTTCCACTGTTCTAAAATAGAACTTAGTTGAATTGAATGCAGCAACCGACTGAAATTGAATTTCCTGTCAAATACAATACGCAAACATGCTGCGATATCACAGTTTATTGTGTATTATTCTTTGTATATTCAATCCTTTTAAAAACATTGTTATTCATTTATACGATTGGCAAGTAAACATTAATGGTGTCAATAATACAGGTTACATAAATAAATATAATATCATTGTTAAGGGTGAAATAAGAATATTTTTGTGAAAGAGCAATAATTCATTGTTTAGCCCAAAAATCATTGAAATAATAGGGAGAAATGTATGTTAAATGTAATTTCAAAACATGTCTATAACTGTCTGGAAATTATAATTGTTTACTACTGATATAGCTATGGTTGTCAATATTTTCTAGTAAATATAATGGAATGCTACTAATGTAGGTCTATAAGATGAAAAGTTCAGCAAATGTAAAGGCTATAACTATAGTCATAGTTTTATAAATGCACGTCATGTTGTCATGACTGACGCCAACCCAGTGAGACCAATGGTGTTGGTCCATTTATTGTCAAACGAATCATCTAGGTAGCCTATAATGTTAAATTACTTGCAGTTGAGATATAATTTACAGGTTGTAACATGTGTTCCAATACTCACAGATGCTCATAGAAATCTTTAACAATATTCCAAACCCGTTTGCTCTTGCTGATTTTAAATATGATACAGCCGGATGTGTTACTGACTCGGTATACAAACGTTTGAGCACTTCTAGAAGTGCTAGGGAGTTGAAATTTGACACGCTTCTTGGTCTTATGGGCTAAACCAATATGTAAATTCCAAATACCCCCGCCGCAGCAAACCTGAATTGATATGCAATTAAATCTCATCATGTATCGCTATTTGTGGTGGCGCGGCGCTTCGGCCAGCTGTTTTTGTCTCGACCAATCAGAGAGGCTCTTACACAACTAGTCGAATAGAATTTGAACGGAGGGTGTTTTTGACCTCTGGGGACCTCAAAACGAAAAAAGTAAATTGGTCCTGGGTCTAGGTCTTACTATGAGACCTACCGTAATATAGCTTATTTTTTCGCTAAAATTAAGTTTTCTGCATTCTAGCGGTAATTTAGAAGTACAACAAAGTTCAGTTTAAGGAGAAGTAGAATAGACCATCATTGCCTGTGGTTATGGAGAAATAACATAGAGCCGACAAGAGGTTCCTTTTCTGAAATGTGATTTTAACGATATGCTTCGATAAAACAATTATTTTTATAACAATTATATAACAATTATTTGAAAAGTACCGTTAGTTAAGACAAGGATTGGTATTGTCTCCAAAGTGTGCATTATAAGCTTTCTTTTGATACAAACAAAAATCATTGCTTGGATACAAAAGAAACTATTCTTATAGGTATTTGAAATTTTCAAATTACTTTTTCTCTAAATGACCCTTTTTCCTAACAACATTTCAAAGTCCTGAAACTTAAACAAAAAAGTAAATGCATGGGACTTGCAACAAGAGATTTGGGATTTAAAAATATATTAATAAACCCATAATTGAAAATTACCGATAAGAAGTCAAGAGGACAAGATTTGGTCAAACACACTTGGCAAAATTTTTTTTCTATTCTAATAATCTTTTACTAAAAAAACACTTTATTATTCTCCCTGTAACAGCAAATCAAGGTACTTGCTAAACCTAATGTTATTTAAATAGATTTAATTAAAAATTCCAATCAGGTAAATGGAAATTTGCGTGGACTGCAGGTTTACTGCGATGGTATTTAGTATTCATTTGTACTGCAACATACTGCCAGACATGTATCAGAACAAACTAATCAATTCTTTGGTTTAGTCACAGCGTTGCCAATAATATCAGTTACTTCCTATAGTCAAGGCTTCCAGTACATTTCAAATTGCAAGCTACGGAACAAAATAAAGAAGACAATGTATTAATTGCAGTCCGTGTGTTAGATTAATCGAAAAATTGCGTTAATATTCAGTTAAAACAAAGCAGTGTAAACGTAATGGTGAGTTGGCAACACTGTAAAACATCTGTCGCGCAACTCTGATGCGCGTCACGTGTTCGCCGCTCCCCCTCCCATCTTGTAGCGCTATTTGTAGCGGCGCCTCGGCCAGCTGTTTTCGTCCCGACCAATCAGTGAGGCTTTTACACATCTAGTCGTCTGCTTCTTTTTAGTTTCGCGTAGTGTTGCAAGCCGAGTTGTGTGTACTTTTGTTGCAGCCGATTCGCCAAGTACAAACGAGGTACCGCTATGGATACGGAGTGGAGCAGGCAAAAGAAGATGAAACTGATCGAATTGTACCGACAATCGCCCATCCTCTGGGCGAAAAAAGGGACCAAAGTTCATCCTAAACAGAGGTCCAGCGCGCTGCAAAAGATCGCCGACGAGATTGGCGTCAACGTCCTTGAAGTGGAGAAGAAACTGCATGTGTTGAGGAGCCAGTTTATGCGGGAAAGGAAGAAAGTTTTAAACAGTCAAAACAACGAGCCCTATCATTACGAGTCTCATTGGCAGTATTACAAAAAGTTGGCATTTCTCGCCGAAACGGTCGATCCACCAATGGCCAAGGTGAGTTGCGTCCCACATATCAATTGATAAATAAATTACAGTATGTTGTTAAAAAATATATACAAATTTGCAATGATCAACAAAAGAAATTGGCAATTCACAAGAAAATTAATTCTTCAATAAAAATATTTGATAGAAAACTCAAAAAAGAACTGATAAACATAAAATAACTAAATTAAGCTTATCTACATTATCTTATCTATTACCTATTAAATTTTTTTAATTCCAAATGCTAAAAAAATTTCTGGGTGTCCAAAGTAAAGTTGTGGCTTGACTAGATACAATTTGTTATGCAAAATCATTCATTAGATACATTTTGTTGCCTATATAAAAAAAGGTATAACACCATGGCTTTAAAATCTTGTCCATTCTAACCTGTAATTATATTTTGTTACTATATTCTACTGTGGTGGTTAATGTTTTTACATTAAAACTTTGGAATCTTACATTTCGATTGATATAGTCTTAAGTTTTAGTCAAGTTTGGACTCTTTATAAATGTTTCATCAGCGTTACCAACTTTCCGGACCCAAACCGACCGAATCCCGAATCGGTCGTTGGGCCATAAAGGCATTTTCTTTTCACACCGGCTTACTACTGCTGGACGTCCAGTATCTAGGAGGATTTTTTTTGTTTCGCGTTTCTTCCACGCCGCCCAGCTAACACGTAACAAACGGAAACGGGATTCAGACTGGTATAGTTGAGTTTTATTAAGTTCTTAGGTGTTGAGGATTCGAACGCATTTATTGTTGGTGATAGTGATGACAACTAAGGGATATATTATTATACTCCATTGACGAAAAGAAGGCCTCACTCATGAACCGAGCCATACGGTCGGTTGGCCACTCGGAGGGTTAATCAATTTTTCCTACAGTTCTGACAAAGCGGGTTTTCTTACACTGATTATAACACACAATATTTTTTATTCATGCATTTACTTACATTCTCGCACCCATTTTACTTTGTCGCACTCATTTCAGCGAATATCCCACATAGTGAATAAACTTTATTCATTTATTTGACTTTATTTGAAAATGTATTCATTTTATACAAAGCTACTATATTTTACTAAAACACACTTTATTGCCCTCCCTGTAGCAGTAAACACAAGTGTTATTGATAATAGTGATTGAATGTATATGAAAAATATAAAATGTTATTGAAATATAAAAAAAATAAAATAAAATCATGCAAATGCAAACCATAGATAAAACATTCGCTTAAATCTGCGGATTGCTGCGGGCTGCGGTTGAAAACAAGTTGGCAACACTACTAAAATCGATCAACTACTAGTAATGCAGCTGCAGCTGCAGAGTGCAGACAGAAAAAAAACACTTAGTGCAGACTGCAGATTCAGATTGCAGCAGAATGACAAGACTAGACTAGTCTCGAGTGCAGTGTTTACTGTCTAGGCTATTTGTTTATTTCGTTCAAGTTCAACCATAATAGCGATGGTTCAGTCAGTGCTTGGATATGATTGGATTTAACTTAACCTAAAAAACGAGTGGTGTGTAGTTTAGTGGATTTTGAAAGACTTATTATTATTTGTAATAAGTAAAATGTTTGAAAATAATGAACAAAGTGAAAGTGAAAGTGATTGTGAATATAGTAAGTTTAGGCCTGATTCCCTAGAAGAGTTAGCGGAATCAGCAAAACAAGTTGCACTAAATCTATTACCTGAAAAATCGAAAAGGAAATATGAACGCTGTTATGAACTGTTTTCTTGTTGGTGTGAAAAAATGAAAGTTACACAAATATCAGAAAGTGTTTTGTTGGCATATTTTGCAGAACAATCAAAAATAATGAAGTCTTCAACTATTTGGAGCTATTATTCAATGCTCAATAAAACAATTCAAGTTGAACATGACATAAACATTAGTAGTTTCAAAAAACTTGGATCTTTTTTGAAAAAACTGTCCTTAGGCTATGAGCCTATAAAGTCGAAGACGCTGTCCAAAGATGAGGTTGAAACCTTTATTAAAACTGCTCCTGATGAAATATATCTAATGAAGAAGGTAGTATTAATATT